TCTTTTGCTTGACAAGAGAGTAGAGGCCAATCAGTGTATCTTAGATAGCCACTCATAAGCTTTTAAGACCCCAGGCTCTACTCACCAAACTAGGATGCAGACCCTAACTTTATGAACCATATTATGACAATTGACTGAAATATCCCATGAGACTATGGGCCATTGGGTTTTCAATGACTGGTTTTTCAGAAAGAGATCATCAGGTTATTCTGAAGCCCCTCTAGGTGTACTCTAACCACCAAGCTTTAGTTAGCAGAAGAGTGTGTTAACCTTTGATTCCACCCAGGCCCTAAATCTAATAGCTGCTGTCTTGGTAAGAAGAGGAGAGGATACACAGAGACATGGAGGGAAGAAGACCCATGTGATGATGATGGAGGCAGACAGCAGAGTAATGCATTCACAGTTCACCAGAAGCAGGGAAAAGTAAGGAAGGGTCTGTTCCTAGAGCTCTCAGAGGGAGCACGACCTTACCAACATCTGGATTTTGGACATCTGGCTTCCAAATCTGTGCGAGAATACATTTTGGTGGTTTTAAATCATCCAATTTGTGGTTCTTTGTTATGGCAGCTCCAAGAAATGAATACAGCCACACAGGCCAACCTGGCACAGTGTGGGAGGACACCACACGTATGAGTGGGAATCTCACCATCATCTTGGATACTAGCTCCCACAAATACCTTCTCTAAATGGTGCCCATTGCCCACATTCATTTTGTCCTATTTCTTATAGCTCCTCTCACTACCTAAGGTTACATCTATCTATTTGTTTGTATAACAAGTGTCTGTCTCCTGCAACGGCTACAGCTTGAAAGCTCTGTGAGACCAGACACTTCAACAGACCCTGGCACATATCAGGTGCTCAGTAAATAAGTGCTAGGCACAGTGTTTAAGAACAAAACAAAACAAAAAAGCAGTTGCTGTCAAGTTGACTGCAACTCACCATGACCACGTGTGTGTCAGAGCACTGTACTTTACAGGGTTGTTGTTGTTTTCTTCAGAATTGATTTTACTTTGTTGTTGTGAGAATATACAGTGTGGAACACATACCGATTCAACAGTTTCTACACATGTACTTCAGTGACATTCATGACATTCTTCAAGTTGTGCAGCCATTCCCGTCCTCCTCTTCTGAGTTGTTCCTCCCTCATTAACGTCAACTCACTGTTCCCTAAGGTTCTTCTCTCATCTTTCCAGTTCCTGTTGGCAACTTGATCCCATGTAGATAGAGCTTAAAAGAGCACAGTGCTCAAGGCACACAGACGCTCTTTACTCGTTAAGCTCTTGTTTGGTTTTTCAGAAAACTTCAGGGGGTTGTTTTTGTTTTAAGATTTCAATACCTCCAGGCAATATTTCTAGGGATTCATTCAGATTCCATGGATCCTGCAAATCTGGATTCCATGAAGTTTTCAAATTCTGTTCCGAATTTTCCCTCTTTGATCTAGATTCTTCTGTAAAATTGTTCATCAAAATAATTTAGTAATTGTAGCTGGGTACCGCCCAGTTATTCTGGTCTCATGACAAAGGGGGAAATAGTTCATGGAGCCAATTAACCACACATTCTTCCTTCCTTCCTCTGTTGTTCCAGGCGGAGAGAAGAATTGTTGTGCCTTGGATGCCCATTTACAAATGTTTTGCTCCCCAGGTCTTATGCAGTGAACTAGGAGGCAGAGTAGAAGCACTAAACACATTATCAGGTCAATTAACTGGCATGTCCCATGAAACCATGACCCTAAGCCTCCAAAACAAAGGATGAAATCTCATGAGGTATTTGATATAAACAACCTCTGCAGTTATTTCCCCCCCATTGTTGTAAATATATTTGTCATACAACTTTTGCCAATTTAACTTTTTACAGGTGTTGTTGTTGTTAAGTGATGTAGGGTCAGTTCCAACTCATAGTGACCCTGTATAGTCCAAGTAGGCGCTGGTGGGTTTGAACCACTGACACCTTGTAGTTAACAGTCCAGTGCTTATCCTACAATGCAGCAATATGTACATATATGTGTATATAAAAATGTGCCTGTATTCCATGTTCTAGGAAAGTTTTTAAATGGCTTATTAAGAGATATTTTTTAAAATGAATAAAATATCCACAAATAAAATATCTATTTTCCTGGAACAAAAGGAAGAAGGAGAGTCAAGAACAGGAGGAGGATATGGAATGTAATGGTCTTCGTGAGGACCTGCTTCCTTTGCCATGAGACCAGAAGAACTGGATGGTGCCCAGCTACCCTAACAGCCTTCTGATCTAAGATTCTATAGAAGAATTTTGATCAAAAGGGGAAAATGCAGAAGAGAATCTCAAATTCTCATGGAATCCAGCTTTCTGGAGCCATGGGGCCTGGATGAACCCTTGAAACTATTGCCCTTTGAACCTTAATCTAAAAATATTCCATGAAGTCTTCTTAAAACCAAACAAGATTTTAGCTTAATGAGTAAAGAATTTCTGCCTAAAACACTGGGCTATTTTAAGATGTGTCTTTGTGGGATCAGCACAGATTGATCAAATTGTCAACAGCAACTGGCAAGATAAAGGGTAGTGAGTTTCTGCTAATGATGAACAACTTGGAAAAGGAGGGTGAGAATGATTGCACTGAACAGGAAAAGGTAAACACATTCACTGCCCTCTCAGCCCAGGAGGCAAGCTAGAATGTTAATCAGGTTACTGAATGGAACCAATTCTCTGGTTTCCCGCCTGTCTTCAAACAGGTCCACAACCTAACCCCTCCCCAATTCTCACCCCATATAAGCCTGTACTGCCCTGCATTCTGCGCTCAGAATCTGGAAAAGCTAGCGCCTCTAAGCCAGCTGGCTTAATAAAATCTGAACCTCTGCTTCACTTCTCTGAGTGGCTTCGGTTTCTTTGACCACAGATCAAGACCACTCTCGAATCTAAAACTGCTCTAATGGCACCACTTGAAGAATGTCTTCAGTGTCACTGAATTATAATGTAGAAATAGTTGATGTATGTTCCACTGTATATATTCTCCACAAAAACAAAAATAAAATGAATGACTAAGAAGATATAAACAACAACAACAACAGACTAAGACCAGGTGTCTTAGTTCTTAGTTCTCTAGAGCTCCTATGGCAGAAATACCCCAAGTGGATGGCTTTAACAACAGATTTATCCTCTCACACTTTAGGGGGCTACAAGTCCAAATTTAGGACACCAGCTCTAAGGGAACACTTTCTTTCACTGTCTGCTCTGGGGAAGGCCATTTATTGTTCCCTTTCAACATCTGTGGGTCTGGTTTCTCTTGGACATTTCCACGTGTCTTAGCATCAATCTTCCTGGATCTAGGAAGTTAACAGCTTAGAGACCCTGGATACAAAGGAGGCTCTCTGTTCCTGGCTCTTCTTTCTTGGTGCTACTAGGCCCCTCTGATCTCTGTTCACTTATTTAATCCCTTTTATATCCATGGGCAAAAATATTGAATGATGTAGGAAGTATCAAAAGAAGATGGGAGGAGTACACAGTCACTGTCCCAAAAAGAATTGGTAAGTGCTCCACCATTTCAAGAGGTAGCATATGATCAAGAACCAATGATACTGAAAGAAGAAGTCCAAACTGCACTGAAGGCATTGGTGAAAAACAAGGCTCCAAGAATTGACTGAATACGAATTGAAATCTTTTAATAAACCAATGCAGCACTGGAGATACTCATCTATGCCAAGAAATTTGGAAGCCCTGGGCAACTGATTGGAAGAGATCCATATTTATATGAAGGTGACCTACCAGAATGTGAAAACCATCAAATATCAATAATATCACATGCAAGTAAAATTTTGTAACATGTCAGCCATCACAGTATGATGGGCAGGTGTGTAGGAAGAAAGGGCTTCAGCTGTATTTTGTGTATAAGCAGGTGTGTGGCAGCAACCTAGAATACTCTGAGTTGGTGTGGGGACACTAGCGACTAAGTGAAGGACCTTCCTGCTACTTACCTAGGAGAACAGGACAAGCAAGCTGCCACTTTCTTTTCTAAGAATTGCCTAAAGCAAGACCCAACTACCTCGCCTGCTTTGGACATGTTATCAGGAGGGACTAGTCCCCGGAGAAGGACATCATGCTCAGTAAAGTAGAGGGTCAGGAAGATCCCCAACAATAGGGATTGGCACAGTGGCAACAACAGTGGGCTCAAATATAACAACTGTGAGGCTGGTGTAGGTGTAGAACTGGGCAGCGTTTTGTTCTGGTGTACATGAGTTCACTATGATTCAGAATTGACTCACAGGTACCTAGCAACAACTACAACAGGATCTGACCAGACTAGGGGCCCACGTGGTCTCCTAGGCCCCTGGCAGCTGGCCGAGAGCCTGCTCAAGTAGACGGAGGTTTTGGTGAGCCCCGCCAGAAGGGAGAGCTGAGCAAGGCTGGCAAAAGCATCATCCCTTCTGTTTCCCGGCGGTGGACTGTGAGGGGCAGGATCAGAGCAGATGGAAGCCACTGTATTCACCCTTCTGCCTCCTCGGCTCCTGTCAGAAATAGGAAAGCCTGTGGACAGAAAACAAGTGAGTTCTTTAGACCCTTTTCTCTACCACCTCCTTTTTGGAAAACTGGCTTTTCTAACCCTAGAAACACTCTCTTCTGTCCTGATTCGAGGGTCTTCTGAGTGACAAGCTTCCTCCCTGTTGCCTTTTCTACTCATTTCCTGGACAGGTTCATTAGTCTTACATCATCAAAGGCTTCACCTATTCAAGTGTTCATCAAATATGAATTGAGCACCTTCTCCTTACCGGACTCACTCCAGAGCACCTGCCCACTTCCCAGCTCTCAGAAGCACGCCCACTTGTCCACGTTCCTTGGTGTCCTAGCAACCAGCAGAGACTCCGACCTGAGCTCCAGCCAGGACAGATGCTATTTTCTACTCTACTGCTGTGACTCATCACCTCCCCTGATCTCTGAGGACCCACCCGAGCAGTTCTTAGGGACCACAGAAAACCACAGCTGGTCCCCAGTGCTCCCAGCCCCCTGGGCCGACCACCCCTGCCTGCAGAATGAGTTTGTCAGTCACGTTCACAGAGCTGGTGAACATCGCCATCTCAAAGGGCGGTGTGGTGAACTTTCAGGCTCTCCACCTGCTGCTTCAAAGTATCCTGGAGCACATCCACATGGCCGATCTGAAGAAGGTCCTTTCAGGAGACGAGGACTTCCTCCAGACCTCGCAGGCTGTGCTCTTGCCCAGGGAAGGAGATGCCCAGCCCATCCTGAACCCCATGAAGAAGTTCAACAATGTCTTTGACCATGTGGTGAACCGTCTGGACAAAATGGAGAGCCAGCTGGCCATGCTGCAGGATCTGCCCTCCACGGCCCAGCTGTTGGAAGCCAGCCAGGGGACCAACAAGCCCGCCCAGGAACTGTGGCACCTCATAAAGATGCGGAAGATGGTGGAGGGCAGTGAAGAAACCATGGCCAAGGTAAGTTACCCAACCTCCAGAGCACTTCCAGGACCCTTTCCCTGTGATGACAGAAGACAACTGTCCCTTTCCAGGGGTAGATCACAGGTCTCTCTCTGGTAGAGGTGCTTAGTAGGTTTGAACTGCCAACCTTTTGGTTAGCAGCCAAGCACATAATCAAAGCATAATGCCTTCTACTCCCTTGTGCCTTCATTTGATGAACCCTCTCTTTATAACAAAGCACCCTGGTGGCATAAAAGTTAGGCACTCACTCAGCTGCTCATCAGTCAGAAGTTCAAACCCACCCAGGTGATCTACTCCAGCAAAGATTACAGCCTGTACAGGAATATAGAGAAAACCCTATGAGGCAGTTCTACTCGCTTGCTTCAGGTCACCGTGAATTGGAATCTACTTGCTGTCACATCACAACAACAAGCCATTTTGACAAAGGGAAAAGAACAGAGCTTTGAAGTCAGATGTAACCAAGGCCTCCAGCCCACATCCTTCATCAAATATTAACCAAGGACCCACCAAGGAGAGGTCCTGTGACAGTGGGTGTGTGCTATGGTGGGAGCTTGTGGCCTAGTGTGGACAGACAGACAGCAAGTGGGTTGAAAACAACAAGGACCAGTTACAAAGAGAGAAGGAAGGAGCATTATTCCTATATTATAAATGGTGAAACCGATATTCGGAACTGCTCACTAACCTACTGAGAAGCCCGACTTGGAGTGATAGGTCCAACAGGGAGCTGAATGGAGGCCGTCGGATTCGGGGTCTCCTGCAGACTGTTGTGTCTACTGCCTTTCTTCCAGCCACATAGTAGGTGCTTAATAATAGTAGCAGGAAGGAATAAGGGAGTCCTGGTGTGGTGCTGTGGGTTAATGCGCTGGACTGCAAGGTCAGTTCCAACCATAAGGTCAGTGATTCAAGCTCACCAGCCACTCCTCAGAAACCCTATACTGGGTTGCTATGAGTTGGGACCAACTCGACAGCACTTAACAACAACAACAACAAGGAATAAGAGTTACCAGCTTGATGAAAACTCAGTGAGGAGTTGACTTCTTTGAGCTTTTACCACTAAACTTTCCTTTTTTTTTTTCTTTCAGTCCTTTTATTTCCTTGCTAACTTCAAAAACTTCTCTGGAGACCCTCTGGAGACCATTCCAGTTTCTGGCTGGAATGGGAGGCAGCATATGGGATGTAGCTGCCACCCTGGTGCAGCCCCCCTTCTGTGCTTCTTAGGGAGGCTTCTAGACTCCTGTGCCCTGCGTGCAAGCAGCCCTGGTCTGAAGGGGAAAACCCTTCCACATTCCCCTCATCTGCTTAGAACTTAAACCTGACTGCCGAGGTGGGTCTGCTTGGGTCCCAGTGGCTGCACTTCCCAAGCTGGGCTGAGCTGTCCACTTAGGATAGGCCACCCTGAAACCCCTAAAGAGGCTAACAAAAAGATGCTCAGTGAGTCCGATAGCATGGAGTCATTCCAACTCATCTGACTTATTTCAGTAAGGCTTGTTTTAAATGGATTTTAGCCCTAAGATATAAATGTATGAAGAGTCCTGGGCTTATTTTCAGAATAATTTTATTGGAGTCACCAGATTCTTTCATCCATCCATCCATCCACTCACCTGTCCATCCATCCATCCAGTCAACAAATGTTAACTGAGCACTTGTTTGTGAGTAACCATAGGCAGGTACCCTGGGGACCCAGTGGTGATTGGGGTAGACATGTCCTCAACCTCCCGTAGCTCCTGTCTTCTGAGGAATGCAGATACTACTCAGACACTAAGGAATGACTGTAATGAATCTTTGCTCCCTCCAGTCCTGGAAAGTGCTACGCAAGAGAAAGTTCTGAGTTCTGAGAGTGACTGAGGAACTACTTGAGTCCTTCAGATATCTGGGGAAGCCTTGAGGGAGACATGACTTTTGAGATGCTCTGAAGGATGAATGGGGTGACCTAAAGGTTACAGAATTTCAGGCAGAGGAAATCGCTAGTGCAAAGACCCTGAGGCAGAGCAAGGTGTGCTGAAGGGACAAAGAGGATGATGAGCAGTCTGGAAACCACGTGGGTGACATAAGGTGCAGAAGGCGTGAGCCGGAACTAGGAGAGAAGCAGAAAAACCCTGGACACTTCTCCTTTTCAAACTGGGATTATTTTTACCTGTTGTGCTGGTTTTCTAAGGAGTCCTGGTGGCATGCTGCTTAAAGCACATAGCTGCTAACCAAAAGGTTGGTGGTTCAAACCCAGCAACCTTCTTCAAGAGACAGATGAGGCACTCTGCTTGGAACCCCTAAGGAGCAGTTCTGGGTCTTATAGGGTCTTTATGGAACCTTGATGTGGTGCTGTTGGATAAGCACCTGGACTGGTAACCTCAAGATTGGCAGATCAAACCCACCAAGCTGCTCTTGGTGCATGCCGATTAGCTAAATGTCCGCACCCACTGACCATTCAGGCTGCCCTGCAGTGCCTAGAGAGCTGGGTGCACCCGGACTGTTCTCCTACCCCTTCCTCTTGTCTGGATGGCTAGGTTACTGAACTTTGCCACCCTACAGGGAACCCTTCCAGGGTGCCAGTCCCAAGTGGGGAATCAGAGATCTATTGGCTTTGGCCATCACCTCAGGGTGAATTGTGCCCGGTAATGAAGGTAGGCACCGAAGGGGCTTTTTCCCCTTGGTGAGAGAGAGAAGGGTCCAGAGTACTCACATGGTGGCCCCTGAACATACCGTACCAGCAGGGAGATTACCGGGGTTCCCGGCCTCTGCCTTTTGACACCTGGTACCTGGATCGTTCCTTGGAGTGGGGTGAGGGATGCAGTCTAGGACGTTGAGCATCATCTCTGGCATCTCCCCACTTTCGGCCATCAAGTCATCTCAGATGCATAGCGCCCCCTATGTGTACAGAGTAGAACTGCTCCATAGTGTTTTTAAGACTGAACTTTCGGAAGCAGATCATTAGGCCTGTCTTCCAAGGCACTCTGAGTGGGTTCAAACAACCAAACTTTTGGCTAACAGTCAAGTGCTTAACCAGGGACTCCTGAAAAAGTGTCTCTAGACATTGCCTAATGCCCATTGTGGAGGTGAGGGAAGAGACATAATCGCCGTCAGGTGAGAACTCTGGGGTCAGAAAATCTGGTCTCGCAGCCTGGCCCTGTATGTCCTGACCCTATAATCCTCAGGTGGGGGATGGGGGCGGGTAGTTGTCCTGTGCCCCATGCTCCTCCCCAGGCCCATCCCAACCCCCTGGTTCGGCATCTCAGAGGCATCCTGAAACTTAGGTTTTAGAAAACTGTACTTGGGAATTGTTGCCTTTCTCATCACTAATGCTAACCCAGGTCAGCTGTGGAGGAGAACATGCGGGTCAGCATTAGCTGTGTGGTCAGCTCATTGTATCTCTCCCTATTCTCATAAATAAAGTTGCAGGTCCTACTTCTGGAGAGATTTTAACAACATGTTATCTTTTTATCATTTTACTCCTCCCCTAAGAAAAGTAGAGGAAGCAGTGGGTTGCTACAACAACAAAAAATTTGACAGGTGGAATCCACCAGCCTTGGAAACGCCAAACATCAGTTCCCCTCTATTCTGTACGGTCATTATGAGTCAAAGTCCACTGGACAGCAGACTTTGGTTTTGGTGCTTGGGTATATCATACATATTGGAATGCTTTTAAATGTAGATGGATTTTTTTTGAGAATTTCAAAATAACATCATTTAAGGACTGTTAAGCATTGAATTGTGCCCCCCAACACACACACACACACACACACACACATATATTGAATTCCTGGTCCTTATACCTGTGTAGTGGTTACGAATCGGCCTGTGAACCTCAGGATCAGCAGTTTGAAACTACCAGCTGTTCCTCGGGAGAAAGAGGAGGCTTTCTGCTCCTGTAAAGATTTACAGCCTCAGAGACCCTGTACAGGGTCGCTGTGAGTCGGAACCAACTCCATGGCACATAACAACAACAATACCTGTGGATGTGATCCTATTTATAAATCAAATTTTTCTTTTATTATATTAATGAGGTCACACTGGTGTAGGGTGAGCCTAAACCTAATCACTTCTGAGTTATGAAGAGACCAAAATAGATACAGAGACACATGTGGGGGAAGACAGACATTATGTGAGGACCCATCTACCAGCCAAGGGACACCAAGGAACCAAAGAATGCTCAAAACTACTGACAAGGAAGGAATCAATGGAGCCAAGATCCTGATTTGGACTTGATGCCTCCAGAACGGTGTGAAAATAAATACCTGCTCTTTAAAGCCACCATGTGTGGTAATTGTATTATGGAAACAGGAGGCAAGTAGGACTAGGATAATGAAGACGTTCTTGAATCAGGGTCAAAGTTACTGCAGCAGTGGTGGTAACAGTTATTTCCATTGGTCTCCCCCTGTACCTTGTGATGTGGTTTGCTCTCACGTCCTTCATTTCCCTAGGAGCAAAGTGTGTTTTGCTCCCATTTGCCAAAGCCCTGGACGTGGAGTATGTACTGGTTGTCCAAAGTGGCATTTGTCTTGGGCCTCGTATCAGGCCACTCAAAACCTCTGTAAACACTGGACCCAAGGGCCAAACCCAGCATTCTCAAAACCATCTTCAGAACAGTAAGAGCTGCAAGTCCAGACAAGCCTACACCTGGTTACCATGTGCCATTGGAAGAACTTCCAGGAAGGACAACTGTTTGGGACTCACTTTTCTGAACTCAGTCCCATTTAAGCCCTGAATGTAAGCAGAGGAGATGGACCCTTTCTGTTCCTCTTTCTCCAACACAATGTAGACCTTGATACTTCCAGACAATCTCCCTCCATTGGTCCCTTCCTTCTTAGAACAGGAATCCATGGCCTGTCCCCAGGCTGGGTGTCCACTGGGCATTGTCAAAGGAGAATAGCACCTCGTATAAGAAAAGACTCTCTTTTCATGTGTGGCCCTAACCCATGGAGCAGCCAAGGTTCTGCCATCTTTGCTGGTCCTGCCCCATATTAACCTTACGGAATAGGAATGGTCTTTGCTCAGGTCCTTTGGTCCCTGACATGCCCTCAAATGGGGAAACATCAATGGGTAGCTGAGGAATCTGGCTCTCACAGATTTTTCTGAAAAATAGTTCCATCTATCGCAGATAGGGACTTTCTAAATTCATCCCATAATGCCATTTTCATGCCCAACAAAATTAACAGTTAACACCTGAATACCATCCAATAGGAGGGACTCGTTCCTGGAGAAGGACTTCATGCTTGGTAAAGTAGAAAGTCAGCAAAGAAGGAAGAGGAAGACCCTCGATGAGATGTGTTGACACAAACAGTGGGTCCTACGATGGGGCTCGAGCGTAGCAGCTGTGAGGCCGGCACTGGACTGGATGGACAGGGACTTGTTAAGTTCGTTATCCATAGAATCAGGATGAGTCAGCGCCTACGCAATGGCGTCCAACAGCCACCATCTAATAAACAGTCAATGCTGACATTTCTTCAATTGCTTCTAACACAAAAATGCTTTTTTTTTTTACAGCTTTATTGAGACATGTTTCACTTACCATAAAACTCATCCATTTAAAAGTACACTTTTCAGTTGTTGTTGTTAAGTGCTGTTGAGTCGATTCCCCCAAAGAAACCGCATAATAATTAGCAGTTGTGCTTCATTTTCAAGCATCCTCTATCCCCTCCTTTCACTTAGCATCTTTTCAAGATCCATCCATGTTGGAGCCTGTATTGATACTTTATTCTATTTATAGCCAAATAATGGTCCACTGTATTGACGTACCACATTTTGTTTATCAGTTGGTGAACATTTGAATTATTTGTACTATTTTGGCTGTTATTAACAATGTTGTCATAAACACTGGTGTACAGTTTTTGTGTGGGCATGTTTTCATTTCTCTTTGGTTTATACCTAGTGGTGGATTTGTTGGTCATACGATGGCTTTCAAAAGTTCATGGAAAAATTCCATTATCTTTTCATTCCATTTTTCCACAGATTTTTTGATATGTATGATAACTCTCTGAAGATAAGTCAGATTTATTGCCACTAGAATTCCCTGTTCATGCCTGGATTTATTCCAAACAAAATGTGCTTAAATGTGTTTGTGATCAGTGGATGATGACTGCAAACAAGCTCGTTTGGGAGAGTGTTCTACAGATGTCGGTTACTTCTAGTTACTTGATTGTACTGCTGAAAACTTCTATTTCTTTGCTGATCTTTTGTTTACTTGTTCTACTCATTATTGAGAGAGGGGTATTAAGGACTCCAATTATTATTGTTGAATAGTTTCTTTTTGTAAATAGTCTTTTTCTAGCCTGATGTTAAATAGAGAAAAGTTTGAAGTTGTCGAAGACTTCATTTCAACTCCACAGTCAACACTCAGGGAAGCAACAGTCAAGATGTCAAACAACATATAGCGTTAGGTAAATCAGCAGCACAAGACCTCTTTAAAGTGTTCAAAAGCAAAGATGTCAGTTTGAGAACTAAGGTGTGTCTGATCCAAGCCATTGTATTTTCAATAGCCTAATATACCAGTTACTCCTCAGAAACCCTATACAGGGTCACTATGAGTTGGAACCAATTCAATGGCACTTAACAACAAAATCAATATGCATGTGAAAGTTGGACAATGGATAAGGAAGACCATAGAAGAATTGATGTATTTGGGTCATGGTGTTGGAGGAGAATATTAAGGGTATCACGGACTGCTAGAAGAACAAATAAATCTGTGTTGGGAGAAATGCAGTCAGAACATGCCTTAGAAGCCAGGATGGTGAGATTTTGTCTCTCACACTTTGGACTTGTTATCAGGAGGGACCAGTCCCTGGAGAAGTACATCATGCTTGGTAAAGTGGAGGATCAGCAAAAAGGAGGAAGGCCCAAACAAGATGGATTGAAACAGTGGCAGCAGCAATGGACTCAAATGTAAGATCAATGATAAGGGGGTGCAGGACCAATCACTGTTTCATTCGGCTGTGCATAAGGTGCAAACTGACTCAACAGCACCTAACAACTCCAAGTCTCTTTCTCATTTCAGTTCTATCTGTTTTTCACTTTATGTTTTCTGGGGAGTTATTGTTAGGTGCATATATGTTTACTGTTATTATAGCTGGTAGATTTGCCCTCTCATCATGATAAAATGTCCTTTGTTTCTAGTAACAATTTTGTCTTAAAGTCAATTTTGTCTTATGTTCATAGGACTATTCCAGGTCTCTTCTGATTACTGCTTCGCACAGTTAATCTTCTTCTATCCTTTTAGATTTGGACAGTTTGTGTCTTTGAATCTGTAGTGTGCTTTTTATAAAAAGATGCAGTGGCAATGCCAGTCAGTGGAGGAGCTGATCTGTGAGTCTAGCATTTGTCTAAAAGCTACCTTACCAGTCTCCTGGCTTCCGCTAGTGCTCTCCCTGAGCCAACCTGCAGACGTAGTCAGAGGAATTCTTCAACAACGTAAATCCAATCATGACACCCTACTCCTGACCTTCCAATATCTCCCATCCAGCAAAGGCTGTGCTCCCTCCCCTGGTGGTTATAGAGGTCTATGTGCACCACAGAGGAAAAAGGCATGAACTACAGTGCAATGATTAAGGAGCTCTGGTAGCGTAGTGGTTACGAATCGGGCTGCGAACCTTAAGGTCAGCAGTTCAAAACTACCAGCCGCTCCGCGGGAGAAAGATGAAGCTTTCTACTCCCGTAAGGATTTACACCCTCGGAAACCCTGTATAGGGTCGCTATGGGTCGGAACCGACTCGACGGCACTTAACAACAACAACAACAACACAGTGCAATGATTAGACTCTCTTCATCCAGATAGAAAAAAAATGAAGAAAATCAAAGATGCAAGCAAACAATTAGTTCAAAGGACTAGTGGATCATGCAAACCCCAGCTTCCATGACCCTGAGACCAGAAGAACGAGGTGTGTCCAGCTACCATGGCTGACCACTTTGTAAGGGATCAGAATAGAAGGTCTAGGATTGAATGAGAGAAAAATGTAAAACAAAACTCAATACAGGAAAGGGTATAAGATGCTTTATAAAGGGAACACATGAGCAGGCATGTAAACTTGCTGGAGACCACGTTGGTCTACTGGTGAGTGGAAGAGGGGGAAAGGCAGCAATGAAGATAGAGGCTGAATTCGACCACATTTCATAGACTCCTGTAGACCTGGAGACGAGAGAGCAGAGGAAGGGCTGGCTGGTCCGAAGTGGGGTGAGACCTGGGGACTCCTGAGCCCATGAACAAGGACATAGCCATGGAGGGCTGGAGCTGAGAGTGAAGCATCCAGCTGATGTGAATTGAGGGGAAATTCACAAGAACACCCAAACTTGCTGATAATACCCATTTGACCTAGCCTCGATGGCTTGATGATCAGAATTCAACTAGAGGAAGATAAAAAAAACAATTTTTGATAAAGGAAACAAGGATAAAATTGCTACAATTTGATGAACTTGACCTATACTTATGGATGTAGTAGCTCAAAATAGCAACTGAGAGGGAAGGAGTCTTCATATCATGTATCAATGCCATCCCCTCTGTATTAGGGTAGATAGGGACAGGCAACTTAGACATTGGCTACCTAAAATAAGGGTGCAATTAAGGCACAAAGTGACTGGCTTACAAGTTTTCAAGAGGGAGTTTAGTTTCAGAGTGTGTGGGGGAAGGTAGAGTCCCCACTGAATAGTTTTCATCTTGTCTAGATGGGTCTGGTGAACAGAGATGGGGATAAGATTCTTAAAATTCAATAGTGAGTAATTGTTATCATGACTAATTGTGACTTTCACAACTGTAAAGATAGAAGTTTTGTAACAAAAATGGGGGATTAGTAAATCTTACAGTCCAGAAACAGAGGAGGACCCTAGGACCATCAAGGGAGAAGAGCACAAACGGAATGCAGTACCCTATACAGAGAAGAAGCGACACCAGAGATGGAGTACAGATGAGGATATAGAGAGAGGGAACAGCTGAGGACTCTACACTCGTGGAAAAAGAGGGACTGGGTGTTGGCGGCCAGGAGGCAGGCTTGCAGACTGTGCCCTTTGGTGGTTTTAATTGTTATATATACCTGAATGTGTTTGTGTACATTCCCCCCGCCCCCCCAGAAAAAGAACAACAACAACAAAAAAAAACCCAGAGGGAATAGAAGCAAATACTATTGATTGAATGATGATGCACTGAGGAGTTTGTAATCGTCACAAGGAAACGATGAGTGTAAAACCAATGTTCTCCCATGTAAACTATCACTTAATGCACAATAAAAACTTAAAAAAAAAAAAGATTCTTCATACAGAGCACTTCCGGGGTCACTAGATAAACTCAGTCACAGGTTTGCTCCCACCAGACAGGCCACCTGCTGACTTTAGCACAATTTCCTGGCCTCCGAGCACTTCCAGCCCAGGGCTGGGGAGAGCCGAGAGGCCCCTCTGCACTGTGGCTGCTCTACTGTGTTTGCCTTCTTGCTGCCTAGCCCTACCTAACTTCCTGTTTTCTCCTCCTCTCCCCTTCTTCAGACCATGGAAGTCCTGCAGGAGCTGCTCACTGACCTGAACTCAACCAAGGCCATCATTGAAACCCTCAGGAAGGAGGTGGACAGGCTGAAGGACCAGTTTGAAAAGGTAGACTCCCAAACAGCCGCCATGCTGGTCATGCTCCTGGGACCCCTGGTGGTTGTGGCCTCAGGGACACTCTAAACAGAAGGAAGGGGCTGACATGGTCCAGACTGAGCTTTCCTCACATTTGGGTGGTTATCTCATGTTTGGTCCCTGTGCTCCTCATCCCACTGTGCACGTCAGGACACCCCGTTGTAATTGCAACAGAAATGCAATTCATCTTGGCTTAGGGAAAATAAAAGGATCCCTGGTGGCATTGTAGAATAAGTCCCAAACCACTAACTGCAAGGTCGAGAATTCAAACCCACCAGCTGCTCTGTGGGAGAAAGATGAGGTTGTCTACTCCCATAAAAGGTTTACAGTCTCAGAAACAATACAGGCTCACTATGAGTCAGAATAGACTCACTGTCTATGGGTAGGCATAATAAAGGTAGTTATTATCTCATTTACCAAGAGGTCCAGGGATGGCTTCAGATACAGCTGGATCTAGGCACTTATACAGCATTGACAGCCTTTCTCTCAGCAGCATTTTCCGCTGGGCTAGCTCCTTTATTAGGCAGGTGCTCCCCACGTTTCTGCATCTCCAGGCTTACAGGTCACCAACTTTGTTTGCAGAAAGAGAATCTCTGTTTCTCTGCTAAAAAGCTCTGTCGACCCTGAAAAGAAAAGTGAATCTAACAGAGACACACAGACTAGGTATCAATGCCAACATAAATGTATCGATCCAGGAGTGTTCTAACAGCTTCCTACGTATGATGTGGAAGGACACAGAACCCCCAAGGAGTGATGAGTCAGAGCTGGGGTCAGAAGCCAGGTAGCTGGGCCCCTAGGCCAGTGTTGTGGTCCAGCTTTTGCAACTTGCCTTGAAATTGTGTCATTTAATACATCGTCGCCAGTTCCCAGGTTAGTGGATGCATTTAATCATCGTGGCAACTCAGAACTTCAGCCTTGGGCTTGGTGGTCCCATTGGAAGGAAAAGGGCACTGTCTCAGTTCTCTAGTGCAGCTATAACAGAAATACAACAAGCAGGTAGCTTTAACTCACGAGAATTTATTCTCTCTGAGTGCTGGTTCTAGGCAAAGGCTTTTTCTCTGTGTCAGCCCTGGGGAAATGGCCTTGTCTCCTTTCAACATCAGTGGTTGGCATTCCTTGGAGATCTCTATGTGTCTTGATATCAGCCTTCCCCTGGGTCTAGGAGGTTCTCAGCACAGGGACCCTGGGTTCTCAGCACACACCCTTCTCCTGGCTCTTCTTTCTTGGTGTTCCTGGGGTCTCTCTGTCTCTGCTTTTTGTTCTCCTGTATGATAAACAGTGATGCAGGCCACACCTCAGGGAAACGCCTCTCATATTGGATCAGGACTGTGACCCAAATAAAGGTGTTGTGTCCCCTTGTAGTAGATGAGGGCCGATCACATTCAGAGCACATCATGGGGGTGACCACATCATAATATAGCTGCCGAATGATGTCATTCTATAACTTCCAAACCACTGACAATCACGGGGGTTCAGGGGGGGCACAATCTAACTCATGACATGTACTGTCCAGAAACTGGGTCAAGGAGCACTACAAAAGGACACCTTGGACAAATTTGCTAGAGAACTAGTGCCTCCTTGGTCTGTCTCCTGGAGATTCTTCAGGTGCTTTGCCATGAAAGGTTCTAAGAGTCCTGCAGTAAAGGAAATGGCGGAATGCCCTTTAACCTCATTTGTCCGTGGAGCCCTGTTCCCACCCCTCAATACACTCTCTGGGAGACACTGCTCTGAAGTCTGTTCTTCCTTCTCAAATTCTCAGTTTTCCTTGAGCTAAATTCTTATATTCAAGGCCTGGGAAGAAGCAGGGCTGAGGCCAGATGTTACACCCTTGGCTCATGGGCGTGGTCCATTTTGCAGATGAACTTGGAAAAATTTGATACGTTCTTGGATGATTTCAGAAGACAGACCCGCAAGTTTGCTGCTCTGCAGAGGGAACTGGTGAGGGCCATGACCTCTGTCCTCCCCACCCCGTCCTTCTCTCCAGACCCTGGGATACTGGGGGCGGTTAGACCTCTGAGAGGTCAGTGTGCAAGGGTGGTGCATGGGGGAGCCCCACAAGAACTTACACCCCTTACCCCAAATGGTCCGGCCCCCAGAATGCTGTTCAGAACAAGATAAACGCCTTCCCCAAGAACGAAGAGTTGGTGTTGTGGACGAGTCTCCATGAGGCCATGTTCCCCTCGGCGGTGAGTGGAGGAGGTGATCATGTAGCAGGGGCAGGGGACAAGGAGCAGGGGGAGGTGGGGAGCAACCAGTCTAGCCCAACCCATCTTACATCTCCTGCAGGTGATCTCCAGCAGGCAGGAGGATAGTCCAGAGCAGGCCCTGCAGCAGGGGCCAGGCCCGCTGTGGCAGATGGCTCAGCCTTTCCAGGAATCTCCCCTGCTCGAGACAACCGAGTACATCCAAGATGTGGACCGCGTCAGGGCCTCAGAACCTATCCAGGGCACCGAACTCTTGCAAACTGTGTGGCATTACGAGACCCCAGAGGTCCTCCCCGTGGAGAAACCTGCACACGCTGTTCTGTTACCTGGGGCCCAGGAGCCAGCATCCCAGCCAGGCTCCGAAATACCACCTGAGCCCAAGCCTGGGCTTGAGCCTGAGTCCCCAGCAGGGACGGAAGTCGAGCCTGCACCAGGGCCCAGCCAGGCCCCCGAGTTTGGACCAGCATCTTGGCCTGCAGGACCTGGGCCTTCCCACGGACCTCCACCCATGTTCTTTGGAGGTTGGCCTATGCCCCCCAGAGGTTGGCCCATGCCCCCCAGAGGCTGGCCCATGCCCCCTGGAGGCTGGCATGGAGCAGGTGCTTGGCCTTTCTGGGCCTTGGACTTCTTTGAGCCAGGTTCAGGCCTGCCAGGTCTCCTACAGCCTACTCGGCCCAAGTACCCCCCATCCAGGGCCCCGCCCCCGGCCACCGAGCTGGGCTCCGCCTGGCCTCAGCCCATCCTACCTTACAAGTCTCACCCAATGGAGGATCACCTCCAGGTTGTTACTGAAGCTGGGGAAGACCTAGATGCTGATGAGGACAAGGTGTCCAAGGACAAGATGCCCAAGGACAAGGTGCCCAAGGACAAGATGCCCAAGGACAAGGTGCCCAAGGACAAGGTGCCCAAGGACAAGGTGCCCAAGGACAAGGTATCCAAGGGTCCCAAGTCTGCCCTTGATCGGATAAAGACCACTGCTGCTATTGCTGCCGCTGCTGCCGCTGCTTATGCCGCCGCAGCCAACTCTGCCGCCCAGGCTGCCAAGGCCGCTGCCAAGGAGCTCAAGGACACCCCTGCCACCAAAATGGCCACCTTAGCCACCACCACGGCCTCCGCTGGGCCACTGGGAGTGTTTGTGGATGAACTGGGCGCCGGGCCCACTCGTGGCGCTACCAGCTACATGAACTTTAGCCACGAGGCAGATTCAGACAACTATTATTACTTCTCTCCTCCAAATTCTCTGTTCAACATCTCGGACCGTTCCCCGTCTATCACCTTGAGCCCGGAAGAGAAGAAGAAGGCAGTGAAATATTCCATGAGTTACATAGCGTCTCTGCCTGCACGACATGACTCCATGAAAGAAGAGTTCTCCCACCTGTCCTCCAAGCTGCAGCAGCGTCTGACCTACCTAGGTAGGCCTCACTTGGCTCCTTGCGGGCTGGGGGAAGAGGGGGGCTGTGCCTCTGAGAAATTCCTCTTCTCTCTCATTCAGTTTCCTTCATCAAAGTCCACGTTCAGTCTTTAGCCATTATTCTCTTGGATTAAGCGTTTTCCTCTTGTGGGTTGTTATTCCATGCACAATGCTGGCCCCTCAGTCATGGGTCATCCCCTTGATCGGGTGGGGATGGGATCATTGTCACCCATAGGGTTTTCAGTGGCCAATTTTCAGAAGTAAGATTTCAGACCTTTCTTCCCAGTCTGCCTTAGTCTGCAAACTTCCCTGAAGGCTGTTCAGCATCATGGCAATGGTGCGGGTGTTGGCTGTAGCTGAGATGCAGTGACTGGGCAGTGAACCTGAGTCCCCCACACGGATGGCAAGGATTCTACTGCCTAACCGCAACAACCACAACTTCTCTTTCAGCTATTCTTTTATAATGAATGTTTGTTGACATTTTAGGGGGACTGGGCTTATGGGAAATTACATATCAAAATTATTCTAGAAGATTCTTCAATGGCCCATAATACCAGTATTGTAGAGGGCTTGGAGAACTTCAGTTTCACTGTGTGCCGGCAGCACTGAATAGACCCCAGAGGAGGTGCTTGGTGTGGGAATAGGAGCCACTGAGGAGCAAAAACAATGTATCCTTATCTCAGAGCACAGTCATGCTCTAGTAGCCCTGGGACCAGTGGTGTGTCCATGGTGAACATACCGGTCATTGGCTGGCATGGAGAGCATATGGCCCTAGAAAGAGTTCTCAGCTTGAACTTGCCTCAACAAACTCTACAGAGCTTAGCAAAAGCCAGATGGTTGAGTCCCACCCCTAGCACTTCTGAGTCAGCCCAGCTGGGTAGGATTTGAAAATGCACATTTCCAACCCACCCTCAAATGGTGGCACTGCTTCTCCAAGCCACCCCATTTTGATAACCATGGTCCTACACTCTTTAAATCACCATCTGGATTTCTTGCTCTATGCCAAGACAGCTAGCGAGTAGCAAAGTCAGCATTTCAAGCCCACCAGCCACTCCTTAAAAAACTCAGAGGCAGTGAGTGGGTGGGATCAGGGAATCACCACACTGGATGTTAACTTAGGTTCATTCAACTTCTGTGATTGGCATGCTGTTGTTGTTTTGTGTCATCGAGTTGGTTCCAACTCACAGCGACTTTAGAGGACAGAGTGGAACTGCTCCTTAGAGTTTCTGAGACTATAAATCTTTACGAAGGCAGACTGCCTCCTTTTTCTCTGAAGGAGTGGCTGGTGGGTTCGAACTGACAGCCATTCAATTAGCAGCCCAATGCTTAACCCTCTGTGCTAGCAGGGCACCATGCTAACTCTGATAGCATGAAATATCTTTTTAAAAAATAGTATAACTTCATAAAGCTAAACATAATCTTATTGGTACCATTGAGTACTGGTTGTTGTTGTTGTTGTCAGGTGCCATCGAGTCGGTGCCGACCCATAGCGACCTTATGCACAGCAGAACGAAACACT